ACGTTCTACTGACGCTTGCATGAAGCTCAGAAGACAACAGCACTCAATAAAATTGTGCATCTTCTCACATATTCTGTGCATTGTCCTCATTAACAGTTAATACACTGAAAAAAGCTTGGCTCTCTGCTAAAACTCCGTGTGCCTTTCTGCTTCAGGCCCTTCTTCGTGCAGCATTTGGAATTCTCCATCTGTTTACAATGGAAGTGTACATGTATTCTGTTCCATCCAGGCTACTGACCGACCACTTCAGCGGGATGTTTCCCAAATACCAGTAGTCTTGTCAATAGTTAATTCCAGATCTCCACAGCCCAAATTTCCTTCCAGATTCAAAGCACAATGCAGTATTGAGATGGGGCTTGGTTAAGTCACCTTATCCCCACAAATTGCATGATTTGCTCTTCAGCTTCATGTCAATCAAATTTTTCTATCACCTAACTCACTTTTTGTATCCTCAGCTTAAAAGCCCCTTTCCAAGTTTTATTTTAATTTGGATTGCAGTAATCATGTTTTTCTGATATTTAGATTTAGCTTCCTCTGAGTAAAATGAAAAACATTAAACATTGCAAGGGCATCAGAATTTGTGAATGCCAGAAATCAAACTACCTTCTGGCCTTCTTTCTCACTAATATCTACTGCTAACAGATCCAGGGCAATATGATCCTTACTCTTCCACGTTTCTAAGGAACTTCAGCTCCAACCATGTTTCTAATTTCATGTTCTTCTAAGTTCTTTAACCTCCATATACTCTTGGAATCCTACGGAATTCAGAAATCGCCCTAGACCCAAGGCAGCCTGAAAACAGACCCTCTTTATTTGGAGACGAGCTCCACCTATGCTTTCAAAATAGGCTGCAAAACCTATTCTTACTCCATATTTGGAGTCCTTTCTCCAAACTTCCCATCTCTGAAACTCAAATATTTCCAGACCATCCCCAGTACCACTGCTACCTGTACCACTCCAAGCTAGAGATCTGCTACAAGCACTCCTTCCCTGTACTCTCCAGCTACAGATAAATTCCAGAGGGGTTAGCTAGATTTGGAAAAAAAAAAAAAACCAAACCACAAACACAAACAACAAAAAGTGAAGCTTATGCATACCACTCTTGTTAAAAGTCAACATTACTAGAGAGCTTTTTAAGCTTCAGTCTGAAAAACAAACTTGTTCTTTAGCAAAGCCAGGTTTCCATCTGAAATGCTAAGCAGATCAATCTTAAGGGAGTGAATAGAAAGAGCATGAACCTCTAGCTCATGACTCTACCATATTTGATGACAATTCACTACTTTTACTCCGTTTCTGAGCACAATTCATAACTGTCAAATCATGTCAGCCCTGATCCATAGAACTCTAGCCAATCTCTCTGAAATATTAGGAGCAAGATGTATATAGACAATGTACACTTGTATAACCAAGATGCTCCTTAGTACAATCCCAAAGTGCTGTGGTTCTTGGAGAGAACATTTCTCCAACTCTGAAAATTACACCAGCAGCCAGTGGATTTCTAGGTGCAATTAAATGTATTAGAGTTTCATGTAACAAAACTAACTAATTGCATCTTCAAAACCTCTATTTCAACAGCAAGATGGAGGAACCTCTCTGAGGAATAGAAACCTTCATTCCACTGACTGCTAGTCAAGGATGTGGAGGAAGGGTCCTTCCATTTTAATTGGAAGCAGAAATAATCACTGTATTTCACTCCTCAGCAGGTTGCCACGCTTTTACAGTGACTTACAGGCCACGTTGCCAAGCCCTACTCTCCCGGTTCATCAATTGCAAATCAAAAGGCATCAGGGAAGGAAGGAACAATCATGAGACAACTTACAAGAATCTTCATAGAATCTGACGTAGCATTTCTCTTGAATTTCTCTCTTGGGAGTTTTGCAAGTAATGTAAAATTAAAATATCCACAAAGCATTGCTTCAGAACATGGCTGTGACTTATTTTTAATTAAGAAGTTGAGTAACAATTGCTTTGTATTACAAGCTGTTGGCACAGAGGCAACAAGGATGCTTTCTGTTTCTCTCTAACGTGCACATTAAATTAGAAATTGAAGAATACAGTTTCACTAGGTTTCCTAAACCTTTTTCTACAGCATGCTGGCCAAGCTGCAAACAGGTTTTTACTCAACTGAATATGAATACAGCAGCTACTGTAAAGACAATGTGCTAAGAATAATAGAAAGTTTCCTACTTAAAGCTCTATTTTTATTTCGCATGTCCTGAAAAGTATTACGAACTTACAGAGCAGTCTTATTGCAAAATTCAGGACAGAATAAATACCTGTAGTTGATCTACTAATTTTTACAACTAGATGAAGGAATAATATTTACAAGATTAACAGTTTTATGTTTTCCAAGCTTGGTCCTACAGACTGCACAAAGATGACCAACAACACACCAGAATGTTGAAACAATACTCAACATCCCACAGGAAGGCTCTTCAATCAAATTTATTCAAACTGGTCTAGTTGTGACCCTGTCACATAAACAGAAAGCTGAAAGTCCAAAGCAGTCAGAAATGAGACATTTTTAACATCTTTAAACATGATGTGGGAAAGGGGAAAACAGCAAATTAGTTAGCAAATCCTGCTAGACTGGATAGATTTGAAAACGTGGGGGAAAGGGTTTTGGAAACTAAAAATACATGTGCGAGAAAGATGAAAAAAGCAACCTTTAGAATACATGCAATCCATCTGGAGAAAAATAATCCAGAACTACAGCAGATGAGAAAGACAGGAGTGCAGTGATGTGGAGCAAGTCTGAAAAGCAAGAGTGGGAAAAATTGTACAAAATTTTCAATGCACCATAACAGCAAAAAAGAAAAAAACCAACAGTTTTCGACTGCATAAGTAAAGCCCTGTAGTCCAAAAAAAGCAGGAAAAAATATCCTCTGTGGGCTTCTGGTAAGACTATGTTTATTACATTACGTACATTTAAACATATAACAGAACGAGGGGGGGGGAAGAAGGGTATTTTGGAGAGAATTCAGAAGATAAAAAACAAAAGCTGGAAGATTGAATTACAAGAAAAGATTAAAGGAATACAAAGCATTACTTCACTAAATGGTGACTAAGAGCAAAGGTACAAGCATTTGAAGAGTATAATACACCATAGAGAAAGAAGATATGTTTGAAATGGAGATGAAGAAATATAAATGGAAGGTTTAGACAGAAGTTTACTGATTTAGCTGGCTACGAAAAATGTCTCCAAAAGGAAGGACTAGATAGAAGCCATGGCAACTGGAGTTTAGAGCAAATGTAAAGAATGGATGAGAGGAAAGAATCCTACCATAGCTCTTTATGGGAAGAGACACAATTTTAGCTAATACGACTTCTTGATCTTAACTTATTACGATATGGTAAAAAGACTGTGGGAAGGGATACTCCCGTATCTGGCAGTTAAAAGCTATGTATTTCACTAGGATCTTAAAATAACTGAAGAAAGAAACAGTACCAGGGCAAACTAGACTTTTAAAAGGATCTAACAGGATACTGAATCCATGTAATTAGTGATCTTATCATAGCCACACAGCTTTCACCAACCATACCTGCTATCCAAATTGTGTTTTTCTCATAAATACTTTTTAATTTCTGCCTCTTAAGGTAAGAGGCTCATACCAGAATAGTAGCTCAGAACCAGGGCTGAAAAAGTGCTGACTGGTGCACCAAAGAATATGCTCATCATTGATTTTCCCTTGCATTATAACATGGAGCAGATGACGACGATAAACAGCTGATATAAAGAGTTTTATATCAGCTGATGAAGCAGCTCACGTGATGATGCAGCGAGCTGATGACACAGCTGAGATGACCCTCTCTGAATCATGAGCAGTCTGGAGAGCAACTATAGAGTCAGAAGGTGAATCAAGCAATTTCTCCCAGAGACAAGTCTCTCCCCAGTGCTGGGTCACTAGATGAATGGCTCAGTGTACAGTTTCCCTTGTACACTGAGAAAGCTCTGCCAAAAGTAATAATAATCAGAGGGGCCTTTTAAAAAAGAAAAAAATTTTAAACGGGGGGGGGGAGAGATACAGACAGAGGAAAATAAAGCTGCTCATGGAGTGAATTCCACTATGATCAAGTTATCCCCCAAAGTGAAAAGGTTTGAATAGCTATTCTTCATCTTCTGCAAAAGTCACCTGAATACATGGCCTAAAACTTGAATCCAGCCCAAATTTCAGCTTGAGAAATTATGTAGTCCTGCTTCCTCAACTCTTTGTGCATTATCAACTGGACATGGCTTTTTCCATCCCAAACTATCACTGAATAGCTGTTGTGCTCCGCTGATGAACAAAGCAAGATACACATGTTCTCTTAACTCTATTTGCCAGCTTGCAAAAAGATGAAGGTTTTTCCTCACATACTAAATGAGTCAGTGTGGGTCATAATTCAGTTCTCCCACAAAGCAGAAGTACCGAAAGATAATTCCATTGCCAAAATAGTCCTATATATATATATATAGAAAGCTCATTAATAAATATCCAACAAAAGTCTGTTTGGCAAAAGTATGGTAAGCCTCACCTTCAGTCTGCGAGTATGATGTGAAGCTTGGCTCCTACCCTTCCTGAAACTGCTGGTGTCCACTCTCCTAGAGGTTAGCTGCTTTTAGGAATGTTAGGAAATGATCTTGAAACCTCAGCTGAAAATCTCCCTCAGCAAAGCCAACTGTAGTACCACAAGCAATATGCATATTACCCTAAGAAGTACAAAAGACCTACCAGGTACCATGAGTAATATCTAGACTTAGGATATCACGCACTACATGGAATTATTTGTTTGTCATCATATTTGAAGCCAGAGTAAAGTTTCACAATTCTGTTATACTTATGTTCTCCTGCCATGTTTGCATACCTCTGTAATAAATTCCTTCACATGCTTATTATTCAAGTAGGCCTGGAGCATGCTACCTCTTTGTTACCATAACACAGCAACCACTTACTATGCTAGAGCCAAAATGACAAAATCACAGATGAAACCACACAGAAGCAGAATACACATACACTCACCCTCATAGAGGTTTCTCCACCGTGGGGCTGTTGCAGCCTGAAGACTTGAGCAACCATGTGTTCTGTGGAGGGGTGCAACAGGATACGTCGGGAAGCCAGTCCCACCATTACGTATCTGCCCATTGGAGACAGGCTCACAGAAATGGCATTAGGGCCTATAAAGAGAAGAGGAGTTATTTTTCTCACAGATTGACATCCCTCCCCATGCCTTGTCCTCACAGCTTCTTCATTCCCTTCCAGCATTCCCATAATGTATGGCATACTAAGCTCATCCTTATAAGGGGTAGAGAAGAATAAGGAGACCTGCACAAGAATAAATTTTGTGAGATGTTTCCTTGCGGCAAGTGTCCTCCCACTAAGACAATGAAGTTCTTTAAGGAATAAAAAACTATCCCTTAGCAGCTCCCCCATACCAGCACGTTACATGTCCAGATCATACCACAAGCTTCTCCCCAGCAGTACTATATTTGTGGCTGGTTGGAAGGTTAATAAAATATTTCCTGTTACTACAATCACCGATGTTCAGACTATTGCATTTCTCACTGAAGGCTGAGTTCTGAGGTAACTTCTCACACTCCCAACCCACCCTGACTTCTTGCTGCATGCTTACCAAATCGCTTTGTGTAAAGCATCTCGCCCAAGTTGTGGGGTGCCAGAGAATACACAGCCAGTATTCCCTCATCAGGGAAGCCTCTTTGACTGCTGGGAATGAAGGCTGCCAGCAGCTGCCCATCAGCAGAGATATCGCAGCTAGCATCATTGTAAATCTTGCAGTTTTGAACAAGCACGTTCACAGAGGCTGCAAAGAAGAAAGAAAGGAACAGTGATTAAAGCACTCAGGTTCAACAGAGAATAAAGCAAGATTTAAACCTAACATTGGAGACTGGACAGTACATGCAAAAGACACTCAAGACATTTAGCTTCCTCCAAAAGTTTATGAAATGTTAATACCCTGATTAATGTAAAACTTGCTCCAAAAAGGAGATAAGACACTGCAATGAGCCGAGGGAATGAAATCTACTCACCTCCTGGAGCCTTCAGCCAAGAAATAGTGGCAATTGCACTTTATCATACCCCTCCTTTGTAGAGCATAACACCATCCTTTGTAAAGGACAGCACAGTCTAAACAAGTCCCAAATCGTGACTCTGACAAACTCCAGCAGTGGTATCATTGGAAACAGTACACCTTAATTCATTTCCCCTTCTCTGGCGGAGCCCCTAGTTCCAGCTCCCCTTATCTCCAATAAACAAGAAATGAGAGAAAAAATCCTCCCTGCAGATACAGACATTAATTTCTGACAGCTGATTTTCACACCAATCTTGGATAAAGCAAGTGAGAAAGGACAGAGACTTCTCCAGCCAGTCCTCCATTTAATTACTCCAGTATTTGAGACACTCATGCAAGCAGTGAAGTAACTGTTTAGCAGGCAGGGTAGTGAGCAGCAATTCAGAAAATTTAAGTTTTATTTTAATCTCTGCTGGTGAGTCACTGGGTGACCTTGTACAAATCTTTTCCCCTCCGTGCCTTGCATACGCAGTCCATAAGCTCTTTGGGCTACTGAATCTTACTATGCACTTGTGCCATTCCTAGTACAATGAGGTTCCAAGGCCTTTTAGCATTGTTATTACCAACAGTTCAATGGTGGCTTGATAAGACAAGGTTACGCTCCCTCAGCCTAACCTAAATGTGCTCCAGTGTTTCACTAAAACTGCTGCAATTTTCCAGGAGGTTTGGAGCTGAAACCACAAACACTATTTTGGGGATGGGGGAATTTCAGATTCTAGTATTTTCAAACTCAAGGGGACAGAAATATAAAAAAATAGAAATAAAGCCCACATTTGCAATATAGAAGCTCTGCATGCTAGAAGACTGAACACCCCATCTCATATGCTTGAAGCTATAGCATCATGTGGAGCACTATGCCAACTTCTACAGTTCAGGAATTCTCTTCTAAACCTTCAGACCATGCCCAGCCTAGAATTGGCTTTGATTTGTTCAGCTAAAATTGCAGATGAGTTTAATGAGGGCACTTCTTGGGCTAGATTCCTTATTAGTTTAACAAAAGAACAGTGCCAAGAATGCTTTGTGCATACTTCCGAAAGTCTGAACTTCCAAATCAAATTAAGGCTGTAACTCAATGCTTTAACAAACTGGTGCTGCTGCCAGAAGAAACAATCCCTGCCCTTTGTTTCCAACACTTCTGTGGAAAGAAAGCTACATCAGGGAACTGATATGGCTGAGAAATTACTGACTGTTGTCTGGGTCACTTTTTAGCCAGAACAGTTTCCCAACCTGGTACACCACATGGCCACATAGACACTTGCAGCAGCAGAAAAAGAAGTCATCACAGGGAAGCAGACAGGACTGCTCCTTCTTCCAGCACTGCTGATTTAAAGCACTCCCTGAACCTCATCTTCAGTTCTTCTGGTCTGAAAGACATTTTTCCTGGAACTGCTTTCCTACATGGTTGAGTATCAACTTCTACTGTTCCATTTAAGAAACTCAGATGAAAAAAGACGACGAGGATAAAAAGTGGACTATGTAATTACATTCTGTACCAAAACACCTACACCTGTACTCTAAATTTATTCAATCACTTTTTTCAGTCTCGAAGCTGCTAAAACTAGTAATTTTCAGCCTAGTATAAACAGAAAGGTCCTGAACAGAAAAAAGGTAAATAATGGTAGTCACTGTCAGTGCTGTAATAACATAATCTAAAATACACATGGCCCTTCAAAGAACAGACAGTCCAAATGATGACAAAATTCCCGAGTGCTTTTTCTGAAGCTAGTTGAACAGAAAGACAACAGAATAAAGATTAAAGACTATACTACCTAATTTTAAAAAAGGCAGAATTAAAATTTGCCCCCCCTTTTTTTTTTTAAATTTAGGCTTAACTCAAATACTCATGTCATCACAAGAGAAGGTGGGCATCAACACAAGAACTGCAGTATATGCTGTGAACTAACTAAAGGATACATGACAACAGGTTGCACTATTGTAATCCCTGTCAAATTGGGAGGATTCCTGCAGAGTTCTTCAGTGACTCATTTCAAAACCAGTCCTATTTATTAGCTTTAGCAATGAGTTAGGCACACAGTGGAGCTGGTTAACGAATTCTGTTGATAAAGTTGTGTAATTTCATTAACAGAGCATGGTCAGACCGCACAGTGAACTCAAATACACAGACATAACAGAAGTGAAATGAAAGAATTCTAAAGTGTCTTAACATTTACAAATTTCTGCTTTACCTAGGAGCTTTTCAGTTGGAAACGAGAGAATCAGCTTTGGTGATCATAGCAAAGACTGAGCTATCCACCCGGCATAACAGTGAAAGAGATGGTAATCCTACACTGCAGTAGGGAGCACGCTTACAATAGAAATATCAGTGCTAATATACAACCTTGTGCTGAGACCACATGCAGGATACTGGGCACAGTTTTGGTCAGCCACGTTCAAGAAAGATTAAACCCTAAATGGTAACAAGTCCAGCGAAGAGCTAGGAAGATGACTGGGGAAAATGAAACATGTTAAAAAAGAAAAAAAAAAAGACTGCGAGGAAATGGGATTATATTTACAAAAAATACCAGAAAGTAAGTGCCAGAAAAACATCAGTTCTCTTCACAAATAATGTTGACAGGTGAGTAAGGGGGTAAAAGCAGCCATTAAGTTTAGAAATTTGAAGATTTCTACCAGAATAGCAAGATTCTAGAACAGTCTTTCAACAGAAGTGAAAGGGGCAATGAATTTAACCAATTTTAAGACAGAATAAGAAGAACTATAGGATGTGCTTGCCTAAGACAGCAGAGAGCTATACTCATTGGCTAAGGGGGTCCTTTCTCACCAATTCCTTTGTAGTTGTAATCTAATCAGCAGTGATCTAAAAATTTGCAAAAAAAAAGGGGGGGGGGGGGGCAGGCAGGGAAATGGGAACTTATTGGACAGATGAATATTGGGACTCTCCCAGCCAAACCTGAGTTAACTACTTAAAAGAGAGCCGAGAAAGAAGGCCAGCAACAGAGCAAAACTACACACTACACAGGGAGAGCCTTCGCCAGAGATACAACTAAGAAACACACCCTCGCCACCACCCCTGCAAAAAACTTTGATTATTAGAAGAGAAAATATAGTCCAGTCCCTTTCTTTGGGGTCTAAGAACTGTTCTCTCTCATTCCTATTCTACTAGATATCTACGTTTTTGTTCTGCATCTCTGGGCTCAGGATGCAGTTTCCATGAGGTAGCCACAGTTTCTCTACTGTCATTTGATGCTCAGTATTGGAAGTAGCAAGATTGTATACTTGCTTCATCAGATCAAAGGTATGGGTGTCATTTAGCCCAGGGACCCTTCTGTACTGATGAACTCCTGGTGCTTTTCAGAGAGGTGCAAGAAATTTTAGAGGGGACAGATACTGATTTCTCTGGGCACAGGCAATGTTTCTTCCTTATTTCTGTAACTATTGAAAATCATAGCCTATAGAATCCATATCTCTTTTCAGCTTTTAAAGTTTGGGGATTTTTTAAATCTAACACAACCTTGGACTTTCATAAGAACCCCACATCTTTATTTTTGTAAGGTAAGAAATGCTTGTATTCCTTATGTACCATTTACAGATTCAGGGACACTGCCACGTCTTGTTATCCTGGTTTCGGCAGGGATAGAGTTAATTTCCTTCCTAGTAGCTGGTACAGTGCTGTGTTTTGGATTTAGGATGAGAACAAAGTTGGTAAGGCACCCATGTTTTAGTTGTTGCTAGGTAGTGCTTACACTAGTCGAAGACTTTTCAGCTTCCCATGCTCTACCGACTGAGAAGGCTGGAGGTGCACAAGAAGCTGGGAGGGGACACAGCCAAACTGGCCAAAGGGGGTGAGCAATTGCACTGTGCATCACTTGCTTTGTGTATTATTATTACTACATTATTATTATTATATTTCAATTATTAAACCGTTTTTATCTCAACCCATGAGTTTTTCTCACTTCTACTCTTCCAATTCTCTCCCCCATCCCACCGGGGGGGTGGGGGGAGTGAGCAAGCAGCTGTGTGGTGCTCAGTTTCTGACTGAGGTTAAACCACGACACTTGTACATATCCTTGCAGTTCCATGACTTTTTTTTCCTCCTTTCCAGGTCTCTAATCCTCTTCCTCATCTAGCATTTACTATGTCTTTTTAAAACAATGTTGGGTTTGGATCACCAGTCACCAAGAGTCTATATATCATATAGCACATGATCACTCATTTTCTATCCACACAGTTTTTCCTTTTTTTTTTCCCCACCCACCCCTCCTTTAGCACAGCACAGAGGTTTTTGGTGAGCAGTCCACAATGATGGCCAACATGACTGCATGTCTTGTTCTTTTTAAAGTTTGTTGGATACGGTGAATGCCTCTTAGCAAAACAGATGTGAGCTCCCCTGCCAGAAGTGAACTATCTTTCCCCCTTAATGTGTGCCTGGAACATAAAACATCACAGATTCAAGTTGCGCTGAACAAGAAAGAGCGCCCCTTATTTCAGTTTTTCAAGATCTGATTCATGCTGGCATTGTGGTTTCTTTGCTCTTCCCTCATTTACAAAGGCTGAGGGACTCAGGTAGCACTTACACCTAGAACCAAGAGAGCCTACTGTGCCAACAGAAAAAGTCTAAATGTGAGAGGTGGAGATGTCAGCAAGGTTTCATTTTAAGGAACAGCATCTAAGAGATTCCCAAGACGCTGGCAGGATGAAGATACCCGTGCATTTGACAAAGCCATGGGCTATTTGATTTCTTTGAGCCTGAGGCCTGATCTATGAAAATGAAGCCAATACAGAAGATTTTAGGGAAAAAAATTGCTATTTTTGGAAAACCATTTACAACAAAGGCTGCCCTTTCATCTCTTGTTTTCTTTTGTTGTTAATGCAGCCACCGAGCTGACAGAACAGATCAAAAGAAACATCAGAGAACAAATTAATCAAGCTGTTGTGCCAACTTGGAGCGCCTACACCTACAGCATGATTATGCTTAAAGCTGGGGAAGGCCCAGAATGCCAGCAGCAACAGCACTGTTTGCCAAAGGAAAGGTGCTGGGTGCACCACCCGCTTCTAGCCACCCTTAAGGATGACACTTTCTTAACAGCTGCTCCTATTTATATGTTTAGAATGCTTTTTTTTTTCCTTCTCTTCTTTTAAGTTCTTCTGCATCCCACTGTGGATCACTAAGTATTGATCAAATCACCTTCCTCAACTCACAGCCAATGTTAGAATGGGACAAATTCCTGACGCGTGACTAAATGTGGAAGAACTAGACCAGTTCAGCCACAATGGCTAGAAAATGAAATAACGAGCAGTGAGTAGCATGAGAGAAACTATATTCAAGAGATACAAACAAGAGACAAAACCTTCAAATATTTTATCTGTGGAAAGGCTATATTCTACACTGTTCACCGATTCAATACTTACCTGTTAGCTGTGGGAAATTTTAAGGATCTGCAACACTTACTAGAAAAATATTAAATAAATGCCAGAGATAGCTTGTCTCTGCTGCCAAATAAATTCCCCACCCCAAAGCTGATATGACTGACAATTACAGTTTAAGACCGGGTCATGTTCATTTCAGAGTTATTAAAAGCAAAACTGGCAAAAGGAGAGAAGAAATCTGAAGCCATCTTTTTCCATTTTGCAATTAATAGAGAAAGACAGGGCAGAGACTAAAATCCCACAAGTCCCTGCAAAGCATTTCCCCAAGACTGCTGGAGTCCTCTTTCACGTGCTTGCTGGATTGAGTGTTAACGAGGTCGCTGCCGCGGAGCCCAGTCCTGAGCCCAGGGCTCTGAAGGGTGCTGGGCCCCAGCCACTGAGATCACAGGACTGTGCTAATCATGCTGCTGTCACTTGCTCAGATGCATCCGCTTCAGTGGAAAACATCCTACTTCCAAACTATCTTTTCTTTGTTTAATTGTAACAGGAAGGAGCTGCTCGGAGATGGAGGTTGGCCACAGAGTCATTTCTTTGATGGAGAGTGGAGCTGGCAGGCAGTCCCAAACTTCAGCTGCATCATTTCATCTGCCTGAACTCCCAAACCACTTGTGGCTCAAGTCAGTCCCAGGAAGTGCAATAGTCCTCTCTGCGTAAGCAGACTCTCTCACATGATCACCTCTGATTTATAGCAAATGATGGGAAAAAAAGGAGCTATTGAGGTCACATGCTTTACTGGGAAAATAGTTTATTTCCAACATCGTGAAGGGTCAGAAAAAACTCCTCCCACCCACCATTCCACTGTTACACATTCAGCTTCACAGTATCGCTACAAATTTGTGCACCTTGGCAAGCTTGCAGCTTGCCTTTGTTCTGTGCCTAGTCAAGCTTGGCAAATACCTGTTGTAGGATGAGCACAACTGCTACGACTTCATACATCCCTACTAGACCTTGGCAGAGGGAGATATGGCTAACAACCTAGAAATGCCAGAGTTGGGCTCAGAATGTAAAAAGGAAGAAGCAGAGTAAAACTGAACATTTCCAAATGGTAATAAATAAAGATGGACAAGCCAAGTACTACCAAGCACAAAGTGGGGAGTCAGAAGGGATGGGGATGGGCTTGTAGCAGGAACCCCGCCTGCAAGGAGGGCACAATGACAACAGAAACCATAGCCCAATTTCCAGCTAACTGGAAGCTATTTCAGAATGGAAGTGTCCTGGGTAGGGGAGAGAGAGAAGATTGAAACATTGATGTCTTGAGGAGCAGATGGTTCTTATTTTCTATGGGATTCAATAAATTATGAAAAAAACTTATGCCTTTTTTTTTTTAAATCAGCAGCCTTCTCCTCAGCAGCCAGATGAGCCCCCCCCCCCCCCCCCCCCATCTAGGGGGGTAAAAGTGCAATTATCAGCTGTAGCACTCTTCAAATACTTGACAAGCTTGCAGAGAAGTCCCAAAGAATTTAAGTCAGCAGCAAGATGCTTCCCCCTCTGACTTCATCATTATTCTGTTCCAGAGTCTGACTGGACCACGGAAAGCATTGCCACCGCGTGGCAAAACTTCGCCTTGAGCACTGATCCTCAGCCTACAACCTTACACTAGTACTACAAAGTTTGGCACTTAACAAGCACTGGCACCCGAGTTCAACACAGTATTCTACTTTCAAGATGACACTGTGTGCTCCTTCCCAAGAAACAGAATGGTTCTCCAGGACAAAATATAAAGCATCTTCCCCGTTTACAATGTCGAGGGCTACCGTCTGGAAGCAGGGCTTTTATTTCCCACCAGGCTATAAACATCACACCACAATATTCTATACAATGTGAAGGAAGGAGATGAGACAGAAACACCAGATACTGTGTCGTTCCTAGAGATCAAGTAAGAAAGCTTTTTGTAGTGGGATAGGCTACTGGTGGATTTCCCCCAGCTCCTCCGATTTCCCAGGGACTGGTAAATGGCCCCATACAGGTTGCCCAGAGAAGTTGTGGATGCCTCATCATTGGAAGTGTTCAAGGTCAGATTGGACGGAGCTTTGAGCAACCTGATCTATTGAAAGACATCCCTGCCCACGGCAGGGGGCAGGGTGGACTAGATGATCTTTAAAGGTCCAACCCAAACCATTCTGTGATTCTATAATTTCAATTCCCCGCATCTCTGCTGCTGCAGTGTCACTACATGTGCTCCTTTTGTGGGTTCTTTAAGCAATAGGACAGTACCCCACAGAGACCTCTCTTGTCAGATATATAATTTCTAGAATTGCAGAACAGACAGGGCTGGGACTGAGAGAAACTTTTTCTTAATTCATTTCAGCGGCTACCTGTGAAAGCAGAAGTCTTTCTGAAAACAGAATCCCTGTTCTCCCTAAAAAGAAGTCAGTCCCTTAAAGCAGAACCCAATCTGTTTTTGCTGAGAAGTCAAGCAATGAATTTCACATATGCACAGAGACAGTCTAAGCTAAAAATCATTGTACAAACAAACATTCATGAATATCCACCTCCTATTTTCATCCCAGGCTGCCACAAATATTTCTGCAGCTGTACAGCAAGTTATACGAGTATACCATTCTGGGTTAAAAATAGCCTTTCTAGTCAAGTTAGTTTTAGCCCCCCAAAAGTCATTCCTTGATCAGCTGACCACGAGCATCAAACATTCTTGTGCCTGCATAAGGAAGTCTCTTCCAGTGCGAGAGCTAGCTTATGCCATAGAACGTACGTAAAAGTATGGTCTAATTTTCACAAAGGGAAGGAGAGAATAAATAAATAAATAAGCAATATTATTAATATTCTTGACCTAGAAGCAGCTTTCACTTGAGATATGGGACGAATCACTGCTTTTGCAAATGGCTAGAAGCTACATTTACTTCCCCTGGCTTGCAACACTGTGGTAAGCAACAGACCAGGGCCCCCATTCCCAAAATGTATTGCAGCACTTTAACGCACACTAATGTCACTAACTCGGAGAATTCAGACCCAATTTATTAGCAGGTTCTAATATAAAGGTATAAAGACAATATCCCTCTAGAAACTTGTTGGTAAAAGAATGAGGAGATTGGATACAGAATTCTTCTAAAAGGATTGTATATTCCCATGAGAATGCTCACAAAAAAGCCCCATTTATGCATTGATTTGCTGATAGCAAGAATATACAAGCTAGACAGAGCAGGAACAGCTCTGCATGCTTTTAGTCAACTTTCTTAAAAGGCTCAGCATTTTACAGTCCCCAATGCAACAAGACAATCAAGTAACCCAAGGACTGCAACATACAGCTACCTTTGGAAGATCCTAGAGCTTATGGTAGCTCTGGTTGGTACAGACTTAAAAGAAAGTACTGGTGTCCTTTCCAGCTTACCATTGCTGATTTCAGGCAGATCAAATTTAGTGAAGTCCCACCACTGGAGCCGGTAGGTTGTGTTGGCGATGTTGCTGGCCACAGCTGACTGTCCATCCCCAATCACAGCACCTACAGAAAAGGGGGAAATAATTAGCAATTTAACCTCCAGAAGATTATCCAGAAAAGAGCTGGGGAGACAAAACCATAGAAAACTTTTCAAAATCCTATACGCAAAACTCTAGATTCTTAAAAAACCCCACCAACTTATTTACAGAAATGGCAACACCTCCTAAACAAGCCACACAGCACAGGAAATTAATAGGAAAGCACCTCCCTGCAACACATTTCTGAAAGAAAAGAAAGTTGATGAAAGATAAGACTTGCCCAGACTCACAAGGCAGGAATCCTAACCAATTCATTTGGTGCAAATGCATTCTACTTATTGGTACTAGTGAAGCTGTATTTTCACAGACCCAAAATTTTCTAGTACAGCTATGAAGGCAGACCAGAATACATACTAAGGAAAAGCATTGCCCTGGCAAATCACACACATTTGTGGACATAATCCCTACTACTACTGTAAACTCCACTCAGAAAATACAGGCTGCCTACAATATTTGCCACACAGTAATGATTGTAACAAAATATTAGCAAGGAGGACCTACAAGCTGGCCCTTTGCTGCTCTGGGTGGCGCAACCTGCAGCAGACAGGGACCGCCCTGACTCCAGACAAATGACATGACCCTTGCTAACCACCCAAGGATTTGGGCAACAGCCCAAAGCAGAAGGCTAAGCAGAGTACTTCAGAAACTAGCACAAAGAACAATCTTCCAGGCAGAAAGGAACTGCCACTGCTAACTCAAGTCGGCATACATTTGAGAAAGCTCAGAGGCATTAAATGCAAACCCTAGGGAGACAACTGGAGAGAAGAAACAGTTCTCCCATAATAGTACTAGAGTCAAAAATGCTATTTGCAGTCTCTAAGGCCTTCATATACATGCAGCCCTTGTACTACACACACATGCTGGCACCCAGGGAAACTCAAGGTAACAGAATTTGATAAGGGAGAGGAAAACAAGATCATCCCCAAGCACAAATGAGGAAAAGCACAGCCTCGGGAGTCTACGCAGTCTGGATTTCAGCATCTCCACACTGTCTCCAGTGGGAAGCACATAGAAAAGGCAGTGGCTTCACCCTCCCAGAAGGGCTGGCTCAGGACTCTACTGCCACAGCAGCAATAGTGGAAGAGACATCACCGACAACTCTATCCAGTACACAGCAGGCCAGCTGCCTGCGCAGAGATCTAAAAGCTTGCTAACTGCTAGTAAATGAAAGTGGTGTGGAGGAAGATGAGGAGACTAGGGTGACTAGATTTTTACTTTTCTTATCAAATTCCAGCAGAACACTCAGGCTTGTTAAAAAAAAAAAAAAAAGGCCTGTAAACACACACACACTAACACGGTTTATGTTTTCTCTGCAAAGTGAAGAACAAGGTGGGGCAGGGCAAAGTAGGGAAGCAAACTCTAGACCAGTGCCAAGAAGGCTGCTGCTAGTCCCCTTTCCATCAATAAGCTGTCTCGAGTCCTGATTTTTGGTTCTGGAGAAAGCTCAGAAATACACCAAGAGCAAGACTTCTGAGCAGCCAGCTTTACACTGTGTACTCAGCTGTGCCAGGCCTCCAGCAATCGACAAACCTCCACCGTACATCTGCTCAGTCTCCGTATCTGCCTCTGTCAGACATGCACATATCACTTGGAGAGCAGAATTAAGAACATTTCCATTGCTCTTACATATGCCCAAGGCCTTGTTCTCCATATCCCCCAAAACAGAGGGCTCCTCTGAACAAAAAGATATGCTCTGGAGAAAGCAGATTCAATGCATTAATGAAATTACATTTTGCAACCAGAAGTGGAAGAAAGACAATTAAATTTTATGTTGCTTCATCTTTAAAAGTCTCCTCATTGCAAGCCCGGGTTTGGTACACAAGGGCAGCTCTTCTGCTGTCCTGTCGCCAGCCACCAGGTGGAGAACAGAAAACTAGTTTCTGTTTCTTGAAATTTACAAATTTCAAGCAGTGGGACTTCCTGCAGGGAGACAGTAACTAACATCACCGACTAGGTAGCAAACTGCCTTACAGGACTGAGTCAGACAAGGAAACACTCTGCAAAGACAGGCAACAGAAGTACTACTCAGGGCACATAATTCCAGAATATTCATCTTATTACAGATAAACATTACAAAGTCATCACCTGTTTTGCAATGAGAACAACCTTTGTAGGTACAGCAAGTAATATGTAAACTGGAGAATAACATACCCTAGGAGAGTAATCGTGCGTTCCCTCTCCATCACAGAAGCCTAGCAAGATCACCAACTGCTCCACAAACAGAAAGTTCATCTGGCTCATACAACTGTTGCACCTACTGCTACAAGTACCATAATCCCTCCTAGCTGTTGGCAAATGTTTTTGATTTTTTTTTTCCTGTAAAGATTCTGGTCTTCTCACATCTTTCTCCAGAACCTTCAGGTTAGTTATGGTGTTCATTTAAACCTCACATCCCCTTCACCTCCAAAGGCAGTCACATCCTACACAGAAAAGGTAACAATGGAAAAAAGCAGTACCTCCCCATCTACAGGACAGCCCTGCACAAATTTCAGAGCCAGCAAAAGCTATCAACTAATGCTAGTGCTTCAGGTAACAGACACCTTTATCAAAAAGATTAGGACCCAGGGAACAAGGTTCATAGAGTGAAAGGTGCATGTTCAGAAGGATTTGGTCCATTTCTCAAAGGCTCCAAACCAGTGTTCCTAACACTAATGGCAAATCCATGATCTACATGTTTTTATTAAGTAATTACCTCTACTTATACTAATTATGTAATTGAGAAGTGTAATTATTAAATTACATCTAGCTACATATAACAAAGTGGAATAACATTCGTATCACAAATCCTGCCAGAAGCCTCCCACATGCACACATGCACTGTCCTACAGTAAAGATGATTAAAAGCATGCAAACATTTCAGACATTCAATTTAGGGAGGGAAACACCCCCCCAGTACACAATTATGCTATCCTAACCTTTGTTGTTCGCTTTTTCCATTGGTTGATAGGGAAGATTTGAGACCATGGGTGGAAAACTTACAGAGCTTTTGTTCACCATGCAGCATGAGAACTCATTCTCAGCTGGCTTTGCCCAGTCAGGGTTTCAGCCTGGGTGAGAGCAGAAGAAGGTGCTGTTGCCTCTTAAGTTCTAGTGTAACCTGGAGGCAAACAACACACTTCAGCTTCTTAAATGTGGGCAGCAGCAGATCAGCTCTTACAAGCAGCAGTTCTCACCAAGCACTTGACAGTTTGTCCTGATTCCTGGGTCTTCCACTGTTTGATGGGATCACAAGTGACTGCAGTGGGTACCAGAGGGTCTCAGGCTTGTCATTCCCATGAACAGAACCACCTTTTACTGCAGAGATGATGTAGATTTCAAAATGCTGAAATCCAAAGCGAAGGCCAATTGAAATGCAGTGAATGTAGGTTTGATTGGCAGCTTTCCTGCGTCTGTCTATCACTGCGTAATAAACACTGGGTGATGGCAGAAATGAAGATAAATGCTTTCAGCAGCCCCCCCTTCTCCCCCCACCGCCCCGATCTCCATCCACCCCCACTCAGCACATGACAAGAGAGTTTAAAGAGTGGGGGGAAAAAAGTCTTAACAAAGACTTAAAAAAAAATAAAAAAAAATCCTCAAATCTCTTCTTATAGGCCACCTACACATAACATATTTATCCGTCAGTCTCAATCCCCTCAGAGGGTCCAACTCATCTTGGCATATAGAGAAATGAACCTTTGCCAGTCAGCTATTGCTCATTTATGAATCAAGCCATGCAAGCCAATGTCTGAGTTTAGACTGAAAGGGAAAAAAGCGGTGCAAAACCACCTTCCGTGGCACTCCAGCACTCCTTCAGTGAAGAGCAGGATACTTCCAGACTACTACTATCAGACTCTGAGAGGAAGAGCTAATACTCTAGAGCTGCACAGGCTTTGGGGTACAAGTTTCAAGAGTATGGAACATCTACATATTATGGGAATTTCTTTCCCATGTATTTAACAGAAACCAGAGCTCAATTTTTTTTCTAGAGTAGGTCCTTTATTCTTAAGGTTTTAGTGTCTGGCAGGTCCCCTCATAGTGAGAGAAAAATTTATTAAGATGCTTATGGATAAGCTTGAGGAAGCTGGAGAAGTCCCTGAGCTAATTTGTGACTCAATTTGAGACAGTGATTAGGCCCTGGTATAAAATTCCCCCTAGATTAGTACTTGCATCTTTAAGCATGAGTACCTTTGAAAAGTAATTACCTCTTTATAAGCCCATTTGTAACTGTAGCTAATGATACTGAGGTTATCCTACACTTGCAGAAAGGATCTATCACAGCTGACGAGTTTTACATTTACTATAATCCAGGCTCCAGGAAGCCCAAAACACAGGACAAATCTATTTGACAAGCCAAGGATAAAGCTCTTTGCTGCAAGAATACACCAGATTCTCTCAACCAGTTCTGAAGCAATTTGAATTTGGCTGAAATGTGACTACTGATCCCTGAAGACTAGTGGAGATGTAACCAGCTCTTGTGCATCTCTGATCCTAAAGTAGTTTATGGGGCAGCCTGGTTTTGGGGACTACCTTTGATCACAGTAAATATATTAAATCCTGAATATGAGTTTGACAAGTCCCAGCAAATATCTGTTCCAGGATACCACGAAGACACTGCCTTTGAAGTGGCCGAGCTAACTATCTAAAACTGTGCTAATGCTGTCAAAACAGTACACATAGCAACCTGGTATTTTCAAGGATTCATTTTGCTTGTTTTTCAGTGTACCAGCAAGCTGTAAATAGGAAGTAAAACAATTTTCATGAATCGATGCACACTATGTTACTAAGGGTAGCTCGGCACACGCTAAGCACTGAAGGGATCTTAGATTTGATGTTAACTGAGAAAGCCCCAAAGAGGTCTATGCTGTCTGAAGGCTGAACCCTTCAAAAGGCTATTATTTTTCCTTTACCCCAGATGTACAAAATAAGAACAAATGCAATTTCCCATTCATGCTCATTCCTATTACAAAATTTCCTTTTAAAAGG